TTTGTGAGGGGGAACCCCCCCCAAAAAAAGGGGGGGGGGGGGGGCGTGGGGGTCTCCCCTATAATTCCCAACCAGACCCTTATTCCGAGCACAGGCCTGGTAGGGCGGGTAAGGGGGGGAAGAGCGAGCGCCATTGGGAGGGTGCCTTTCCAGGGCTCCCCCTGGAAAAGCATCTTGTCCCCATGCCGATGAGGACAAGAGCCTCTTCCACCACAACCCTGACCTGATGGTTGTGGGGGTTTGCGGGCAGAGGGACTTATTTGCATCGGGGTACCAAGATGCTGCACCCCCTTGTGAATGAGTAAGGGATACTTGTGCACCTTCTCATTCACTAAAGGGTGAATGAGTAGGTGCACAAGTACCCCTTACTCATTCACAAGGGTGGGGGGGGGCACATCTGGGTTAATTTTGGGGATTTTCATTTTTTTATTAAAGGACTTGTCAAAATCTTTTGTTTTTTTTTTCAGTTAAAGGATTTTTTCTTACGTTTAGTTTACTCATTTGTATTGGGATTGTAGTCCATCACAAGAGTGAGCTTGGAGCGGTGGCTTCTTTCCAACACACACAGGGACCATGGGGAACAAAAGTAGCCACCCTCGAGAAGGTAGGACAGTGTCAGCACCAATTCAGAGATGATTTGAGGATTTACAGCCGAGTGATACACAAATAAGGCACATTTTTATTAATAGGGTGATTTGATGCTCACTTAACAAACTTTAAGTTTAAGCTCACTTTAAAGGAGAACTATGGGGTCAGGGCTTTTGCCCATAGTTCTCCAAAGGGTCACGGGAGAACACAAACTAGCGTTCTCCCGTGACCCAAAGCTCATTATATCGCGAGCTACATGTTCCCAACCAGACACTTATTCCAAGCACAGGCCTGGCAGTTATGCTGATCCAAATGACTTCTCCATTTAAAGTAGTAATTCACCCCCTCACATCATACTTTGTATGGCTTTTTACAGACCTTCAAATAGAGATAGACGAAGCTTCTGCTGTGTTCTATTATTAAGATACTGTACCTATAATACTGTGACATCTGTGTCATAAGTGCATCATGTATTAAATATTCTTTTGGAAATTTATATAAAAGTTTATATAAATAGTTAAAAAATATACAAATGTAATAAAACTTTAAAAAAAAACATGAATGAATACCAGTATGGTTTCTTTTTATGTAAATGACTCCAGCACCTCCACAGTCATATACAAAAGAGTATTTTCAAAGTTACAATGTTCAAGTGGTTTACTGAATGCTATTTACATCTGTATTTAAAAACATTCACAAAGTCAAGTAGTGTAAAGGCCGTGGGTACACTAAATGAGGAAAAAAAAGAACATAAGTGACTTATTATTAAGTAATAAAAATCAAAGTTGTTTGCAGTCAAACCTGTTTGGGTCTCAGCAGTTTAATAAGACAGAAATAGCTATAAACCAACATAAACTCTGTATATATATCTACAAAGATGAATGGAAGTCTCCTACAATAGTTAAAGACGAGTGATAAAAGGAACCTGCCTAGGTTTGAGTTGGCAAATCATATACAAATTGTGTTTGCCTTGATTCCATATTGTAGGACTTAGGTGCTACAAATTGTGTTTGCTGCTATGGAGGTCTTGATTCCATATTCAAAATGCATCATACCTGAACTTAGAGGTGAATCCCACTGATGTTTTTGGATGGTGGAGGGAGGGGCGCAATCTTGTTAAATTCTGCCAATTTTTAGGGCTACCTCTTCTGTAAAGGAGAGAAAGTGACAGCTGGCCGAGCACTGCGGGAGGAGAACGATGTGGGCGGCCGGTGTCTTTCCTCCCACACCGCTCAGCCGCCTATCACAGAGCGGTGTGGGGGCGGAGACAGCCCACGCTGTCACAGGAGACTGAGCTCTCTTCACTGCTCTTCTGGCTCAGCCTCCTGTGACAGCGTGTCAGAGAAGAGAGCAAGGTTCAAACACTCAGTGATCAGTGATCGCTGAGTGTTTGT